GGGGGGGAACGAGGTGGAGATGCTTTTACCGTATCTTGACTCTTCATATTTACCGTATCTTAACTCCTTATCCTTATATTAGAGCAACTCCAATGGGGCGACCCATTTCGTCCTCCTGTGTCCGTTTAGGTTGGCGAGGACACAAAAGGCGACCCAACGCGCCGACCCAAACGGACGCGCATCCGCTTTTCGTCCGCGGGTGACCCATTATCGGTCCATTTTTGAGCCGGATTTGCGTCGGCGCGGACACGCGACGGACGCGTGCACGCTCGCCTTCTCCTCTTCCCGGGCCCGCTGGTTGGTGGCACATTGGCCTCCCCCCTCACCCCCAGCCAACAGCAACCCCACCCACCTCCTTCGTCACCAAAGCTGCCGCCCATTTTTGCCGGCGACTCTGCCAGCTGCTGCCGCCTCCACATCCGCCCAGTAACACCGCCCACTCCCCTCGTCGCCCGACACCGCTGTCTTGCCGCCGGGGAGCAAACTGCTTCCCACCGTCGCTCCCCCTACCGCACAGCCGCCCCGCGACCAAGAAGCCACCTCGCCGCCCCGGCCAGATCCGACCGGCACGCTCGTCGGACGCCGGCAGGGCAACTAGCTGGCCCGTGCGTGCCACGACTCCCCTCGCCGGCCGTCTCCTTCTTCGATGCCCGCAAGCTGTTCGACAGTTTGCCAAGGTACGAAAATGGACTCCGCCGACAAGTTCTTTTTCCACAATTTCCTTTGCGACTCCGATGATTCATCGTCCGACGATGAGGAGGAGATATTGGCTGTCGTGTTGGTCCATCACCACCTCAACAGCCAGCGGCTATTGTTCCGTGGCTCCATTCTGGACCACCTTCCAGCGTTGAATCGCAACCGAGAGAGCGGGCATTTCCTTCTTTGGAAGGACTACTTTGATACAACAAACCTGTTGTTCAAACATCAAAATACCGCCGCCGTTTCCGTATGAGTAGGCATCTTTTCAACCGTATTAGAGAGGGGGTGGTCGACTATGATGACCATTTCGAGTGCAAAGAGGATGCATCGGCAAGATTGGTTTCTCCTCTTATCAGAAATGCACTGCCGCCATCAGAATGCTTGCATACGGAGTGCCCGGCGATCTCATTGACGAGTACGTCCGTATGAGTGAGTCTACATGCCTAGAGTCACTGTATAAGTTTTGTAAGGTTGTTTATTGCTGTGTTTGGCCCTGAGTACTTGAGAGAGCCGACAGCTGAAGATACAACCCGTTTGTTGGCGATGAATGCCAGAAGGGGCTTCCCAGGGATGCTTGGCAGCATAGACTGCATGCACTGGGAGTGGAAGAACTGTCCTTCTGCTTGGCAAGGGCAGTATAAGGGACATGTCGGGGCTTGCACTGTCATACTAGAGGCCGTGGCGTCTCAAGATATCTGGATCCGACACTCTTTCTTTGGCATGGCTGGATCACACAATGATATCAACGTGCTTCAGCGCTCGCCGGTGTTTGCTAGGCTTGCCGAAGGCAACATCCCACCGGTGAACTTTACTGTCAACGGCCACAACTACGACAAAGGATACTACCTGGGTGGCGGTATCTATCCTCAGTGGACCACTATTGTGAAGACAATACCCAACCCTGTCGGAGAGAAGAGGAAAAGATTTACCCAAGAGCAAGAGAGTGCTAAGAAGGATGTCGAGCATGCCTTTAGTGTTTTGCAATCTCGATGGGGCATCGTTCGGTATCCTGCTAATACCTGGAGCACGCAGAAACTGTGGGAGGTGATGACTGCTTGCAGTGGCGGAGGCAGAAAAAAAGGATTGAGGGGGCCGAGTGCTGCTGAAACAGATCAGGGAGGGCCAAACCAAAGAAAAAACATGATCTGAGCAGCAAATAATCACAAAATTTACAGTCTTCATCAGCAAATTAGCAATAAATCTCAGATGTTAGGGGGGGCCAGGGCCCCTGCTGGTCCCCCCTGTCTCCGCCACTGACTGCTTGTGTGATCATGCACAATATGATCGTAGAAGACGAGCGCCCGGAACGTCTGTACGATCAAGGGTTTTAGTTTTAGGGTGAGAATGTTGTGCCTGAGCATGGAGTAGCGGCAACGTTTGAAAAGTTCACCCAATTTCATCAAGACATGCTTGATTAGGAAACTCACGTGCATGTGAATGCAAATGAATGTAATATTGGGCGGCCAACCAGCCACGCCTGCACATATAAATCAGCGTGTTGGGCATGCTGCCGACCCATATCAAAAACTGACAGACACCAGATGGATGATCGATCTAAACAAACAAAAAGCGAACGAAATCGCCGTCCGGTCATCCCATTGGAGTTGCTCTTACGGCCTTTCACCATTTTCTCCTTGTTTTCCCAAAGGAAAAGCGAACAACAAGTTGTATTCTTCTCTCTCGCGGTCAACAGTCAAACCCCTTTGCCCCTCACGGTCATCTCTCTCGCGGTATAAAAATGGCGAAGAACTGCCGGAAGCGGCAGCCCAGCTCCTCCTCACATCACAGCAGGTTCTATCTCCACCCAGCAGCAATGGCGGAAGTGGGGAACGGCGCGGGCAGTGGCGGGCGCGGCGTCCGGGTGTGCGTCACCGGCGGCGCCGGGTTCATCGGCTCCTGGCTCGTCAGGAAGCTGCTCCAGGCAGGCTACACCGTCCACGCCACCCTGCGGAGCATCGGTACGCGCGTTCCATTAATTAACTCGCCGTAGGTGATGAGGTTTGTAGCCGCGTGTCTGATTCGCGGACTCTGGCGCCGCCGGGCTGATCCGATCTGGTTGGTGTGGTTGGCTGCAGGGGACGAGGGGAAAGCGGGGCTGCTGCGGCGGCTCGTCCCCGGCGGCGGGCCGCCGGAGCAGCTGGTGCTGTTCGAGGCCGACCTCTTCGACGCCGCCAGCTTCGCGCCGGCCATCGCCGGCTGCCAGTTCGTCTTCCTCGTCGCCAACCCCTCCGCGCACGAGGCCGCCGACTCCAAGGTCAGTCAAACTGAAACTGAAACTGAAAATTCCGGCACTTCGATCTGTCATCCGTGTTTGTAGCGTAGAAAGATTCGATTGATGTCCGGTATCAGTTCTTGATCCGGTCGCTGATCGCAAACTGAATCGCATGGAATTTGTGAGATCAATTTTGGGGAAAAGCATAGGGCTGTGCACAAATACAGTTTCAGAGTTCAGACTGTTAACTTCTTCAGAGTCCACCAGTCGATGCTGATGAGTCATTTCGCTACTTTCTGCTGGCAGTACAAGACTTCGGCGGAAGCCGCGGCGGATGGGGTGTGCGTCATCCTCCGGCTATGCGCGCAATCTAAGACAGTGAAGCGCGTCATCCACACCGCATCGGTGACGGCTGCTTCGCCGCTGACAAAGTCCTCCAGCGCCGCGACCGCGGTGTACAGCGATTTCATCTCTGAATCTTGTTGGACTCTGCTGGATGTCGATTACCCTCTCCGGAGCGTGCATTTCGATGTAAGTGGTAGTGTTCTTCTTGCCCTTCAAACTGAAGCATGGATTCATGATCTGTAGTTCTGTACATTAGGTGCAAAATGATAATCTTAGTGGCAACATCATCATAGTGACAGTGTTGGGTGCTCATCTGCAGAAGTACATAGAGTCCAAGGTCCTGTCAGAGAAGGAGCTCCTCAGCTACAACGACGGCGAGAGCCCGGCGTTCGAGGTGGTCACCCTGTCGCTGGGCCTCGTCGGGGGCGACACGGTGCTCAGCCACCTCCCAGAGACGGTGGAGAGCATGGTGGCCCCGGTAACCAAGCAAGATCCCTACTTCATGCTGCCGAGGATCCTGCAGAGGCTGCTGGGCTCGGTGCCGCTGGTGCACGTCGACGACGTCTGCGCTGCGCTCATCTTCTGCATGGAGCAGCCCTCCATCTCCGGCCGGTTCCTCTGTGCCGCCGCCTACCCGACGACCCTCGACATCCTAGACCACTACAGCAGCAAGTACCCCCACCTTGAAGTCCTCAGAGAGTAAGCACTGAGTTCTTCCCCTGCAACAAAGAATTATTATACCCCGACAAAAAAGAAAAAGGCATTATTATGCATTCCATCGATTCATCGTCGAGCTTCTCATGAAATTCGGTGACATCCATGATCATGTGTTGCGCTGCTGCAATCGGCTGACTGGCTGAATTGGTGCATGACAGGACTGATGAAGTAGCCAGGGTGCACCCCGAGAGGAGCAAGCTTTGGGAACTGGGCTTCAGGTACAAGTACGGGGTTGAGGAGATACTAGACGAAAGCATCGACTGTGCTGTGAGGCTGGGCTCCCTGGATGCATCCAAGCTCATCGTCCAGCAGGAGTGATGAACTCAATGATGTGCAGGGCAAGTGATCATAGTATGCTCTTTACTTGTTCATTATTTTACAGTACCACATGTACTACTAAAAGAAGAAAAACAATATATAAATAACAGAGATGCTTTTCTATTTACTGGCAGCTTAAGGTTAGCTTGTTCTTTGATTTTTGCTCTGGAAATCTGTACACATTCATATCATCGCTGAGATCTTTGGATTTTCCATGTAATTTAATACATGAGTTAAACAGATAAAGGCACACATCTTTATCATGGCAAAGAACTATGAAACTACACAATTACCAATGCTCATCTTCAACTTGTCTCTACCCGAAAAACGGGAGGTCTGGACACGAAAAACAACAGGAAACAGAGGACCAAAGTAGCAAGGTTCTTTCTTCAGGCACAGGGAGCAGTGAAGTAACAAACATACACAAAACTGTGTTAATTAATAACAGGTATACTATTGTAGGAGTTATGGCCGAATTGCACACTGAGCAACTCGGGACTGTCGGCTGTAGGACGATGGGCACTTGAGAAGATTGAAATGATGGCCTGGGAATCATGGATCTGCAGCGTTTCGGTAGGGCACTCCGCCTCGGATGGGCCTGGTCTGAGACTTCGAGTGGATGGACAGAAGTAGACCTTGGGTTGGCTGTGGCACGCCGTGTGACAGCACTGAACTGACCTATCTCTCTTCAATGCCTCCGCCGTGATCAGCACCGGATATGGAGCGACTTAGAGGTCTTGGCACTCCAGATGGCTTAATGAAAATGCTCCGCCCGATATAGCTCCTCATCTTTTCCCGCTTGCTCGCAAGAAGAATATCTCTGCCGCATCTGCCATCGTCCAGGGGACTTGGATGGATGTCTGTGCCATCTGTGCCATCCTCCAGACTCCGGTGCTCTGCAGCTTCATCAGTTCATTGGCTTGTGGCTCCTTCTCCGTGATGTCCAACTTACTGTCGAGCCCGACAAGGTCTCTTGGCGTTGGACTCCCAGCCTGCAATGCAGCGCTAGTTCTGCCTACCTCCAGCAACACACAGGATGCTATGCAACTACAAAGTTTCAGAAACTGTGGAAAGGTAGAGTCGAGCCTAAATGCCGTTTCTTCATGTGGCTATTATGCTTTGGGATAGAATCCTCGCCAACGACAACCTACAAAAAAGTGGTTGGCCAAACAATGGGGAGGTTAACTTTTGCGATCGAGAGGAAGAAACCCTAGGTCACCTGATCCTGCAATGCACCTTTGCCTGTCAGGTATGGCTCCTGATCACGGACTGCCTGGCTCTGCCGGCGCCCCTCCTGCAGAATGACTGCAGAATGCAGATGCTCCCTGGCATCTTGGTGGAATGATGTCGCCTCCCTGCTCCCCAAATACCACACTTCAGTGGCAATCTATGGTTGTTGGAACATCTGGAAAGAGCGGAATAGGCGTGTTTTCGACGACTCCTGCTGCACTGCCGAGCAGGTTCTCGGCATGATCAAGGCTGTTATGGTAGCGGCTCATTCCTGCATCACATGCGATACCTTTGGCGAAAATGAGCCGGAGCCAGAACCGGATTAGATTTGGCAGTCTCAGTTTTTCCCTTTGGCATTTGGGAGCCACAATCCCATCTCTGTAACTGAACTTCATTGCTTCTCTTTCTGAAATGCATCGGCAGTACACCTGAGCACCAGATATGAAACTAATAGCCTATGGAGGAAGATCCAGAATAACATTTCGACAACAAAAAATGCAATGTGTATCTTTACGGAAGTGCATTCCTGTCAGACCACGATTGAACAACAGCGATCCGTAGTACTAATACTAGCATAACAGACAGATACTCACTGTTCAGAACATTAGCAAATTGAAAGTAAATTTGGGCAACAGGAGGGAACATTACAGAAGTTATGATAGTAGCATACTAGTACATAGATACTCCATAGTTCAGAATATTAGCATGATATGATGTTCCAGATAATGGTAGTGCTGAACTGCTGATGCAACCATCCAAAATGTTCAGTTCAACCGCTAGTAGTAACAAGTACCGAGATTCTTTCTTTGGTCATAGGGATTACTGAAGTAACAAATATACACAAAACTGTGTTAATTAATAAAGTGCTAGATACATCAATTTCAATTTGAGCGACAAGTAATTCTGGACGGATGGAGTATTACTTTAGGAGTTACGGTCGAATTGCACATTGAGCAGTAGAGATCAAACTAACAGCCTATGAATCGAGGAATAGATCCAGATCTACAACTAAAAATGCAATGGGTAAGTTTTAAGGAAATGATGGAGTGCACTCCTCTCAGACAAAAGAGTTCCTTCATCCAAAGAGCATGACCAAGACTGAACAACACCATCCGTAGTAATAATACTAGCATAATAGACATATACTCTATATATCATAGAATTGGCAATCTGGAAGCAAATTTGGGCAAGAACACTACAAAAGTCGTTATAATAGTAGCATACTAGATAGATACTCCATAGTTTAGAACATTAGCATGATATGATGTTCCAGACATGATAACAAGCACCAAAAGATGACGGTGTGGTGCTATTGCGACCATCCAAAATGTCCGGTTCTACCACTAGTAGTAACAAGTAAGCGGAGGAAGATATACTCCAACGGGACAACAAACCGAGGTTGAAGAGCATTCACGCATGCCCTGTGGAGAATGGAGGCTCCCCATCTTCTCGCTTCCCACGAAACGGAATTGGAGTAATGCTCTCTTGAAGACGATGCGGAGTAAGCTCCATATGGTACAGTATCTTTCTGAAGTTTGCCATTCCTACAAGTTTGCCATGGACGTCGTAGTGTGACACATATTCATCGCAAAACTAGACCAGCAGTTCATGGTCGTTGAGCACGTTCATTCCACGGAATATTGCTGTAGTTGACTCCAGTGGGTGTGTTGTTCCCTTTTTCTTCTTCTTCATGATTCAGTTTAACCACAAATGGCCGTGATGCCGCCATCGCTGCCACGTCAATCGGGTACTTGAGGTCCCAGATTTCGGCCTCGTAGTCCTCCATTGCCCTGACATCCAAGGCGGTGAATCGGCAATCGTAGCTGCACAAAGCAAGCTTCTCCTCCATGTCGAACAACTTCTAACAACTTCTCGAGATGCCTGGGACTGCGCATACACCGGAACGACTCGGCTGCTGTGTCAAACACAATGATGTCTATGCCACCTCTTGTCACGTCACAGACACCGTCACGATTCGAGTGCATGTTGCCATGGTGGTAGACCGGTGGACGGTAGAAGCACAACTTTGCCTCTCGAAAAAAGATTTATTTTCTTCCATAGAAGTATATTTGCTTCTCGTGGAGGCACATATACTTCCGCGAGAAGCACAATTGTGCCTTTTGGAAAGAGAAATGTCTAACAGCTCCCGGGTGCCTCTACACCCTCATGAACAGTAATTTCATATAAAATTAAAAAAATGAAAAAAATCTGAAACTTTCAAGGATCAAAGAGTATCAAAGGTTTGATGTTCCTGCAAAGTTTCAGCTACAAATAACCTTCGTGGAGCCCTCATAAAAAAATCACTGCTAAAAAATGTACATAAATTTTGACAATGATTTTGTTTTTTTATTTGAGTGCTCTTAGAATGTTATTTTTAGCTAAAGCTTTGCAAGATCGTATAAAGTTTCATGATGTTCGATGTCCCAAAGTTTCAGTTTTTTGAATTTGTTTTGAATTTACTGTTCATAGAGGGTGTAGGGGCACCCGGGTGCTGAAAATCCTATCTCACAAAAGAAAAAAAAATACATGTTTTTTCTTTCTTTCACAAAAAGCACAAATTTGCTTCCGCGGGAAGCACAGTCATGCCTCTCGAAAAGAAAGAGAAAAAAAATATTTTTGCTTTCATGAGAAGCACATATTTCCTTGTTGCGGAGGCACAAATTTACATCCGCGAGAAGCACTGAAATTTTCTCACCGGAGGGAAAAACAGTTAGGCCTGGGGAGCAGCCATGATAGGTGTTAAATATATCCATTGATGGTGGAGCTAAATCAGCAGGTTTTATATATGGATCCCAATGCATATACTTATACCAGACAGTACAAAATAATCCTGCGTATTCTAGAAAAGCAAAATAACCGTACACATACGACTTAGAATTCTCATCAGAAAATGGTATTACTATTTCAACCAACTTGTTTATGATTTCACGTTTCAAAAGGGATTTCAAACCAAGACCGGTATGTCCTATGTGAGAATCGCTGAATCCTCATAGCGAAGTGAGCTTTGTGACTTTTAGTAGGGTTGTATCGTCCGTCTTCAACATTCATCCATAAGACTTATTTATTCGATTCATTGTATCTCGAACAGAGGTAAGTCCAGCTTCCTCCTCTTTTCTTTCTTTTTGTTAGTGGCTTTCTCTTTTTAGAAGTCAAACTCTAGACCTGGCAAAAGTCCTACCCTTTCTTGTAGCAGAGCTACGTCCTGATCGATTGTATCATGCTCTTTCGGGTGGAGGCACCTCTAATATAATCTTCGTCCATAGGAAGGAGGACTTCCACAGAAAAACAAAAGTTGTATGCCAAAAAGAGACGGTATGAATTTAGGTCCAAAAGGATCACGCCCACGATACTCAATTGTGTCAGCCAAACCAAGCTGGTACACCATCCAGCCAGAATAAAACAAATGAGAAGAAATAGGACGTACCTCTGTCTCTAAATAAACATCTCACCTATCAAACTCAAGCAAGAATCGAACCGCTAGTTTTCTGTGGCCATGGGAACCGGCTGAAATAGTTGAATGGGCTAAGCTCCTGTGAATGAAACACCCGTCCTGCTAATCCCAAACTCTAATGTGCTTGACTTGGAAGTAGGCCACTCTTTCACTGTGACTGTGAGGGTCCACATAATTGTAGGATTATATGGATATCAGTGCTTTTATTCAATTCCCGCTGGTTAGATGTGTGGGGCAGAGGGCTCGTGGTACCCCTCTTTTCTTGATACAACATTTTCTTCGCTTCGGTAACTCGTCGGTCGGTACGTGCCAATCCCAG